GATATCTTCCTTGCATTCAAAGCTTCACTTGTTGTTTCGTTCTGCATCTCTTCAAAACTTGGAAATTCAGAAACCGATTTCAACCACCAGTCTTGGTATCTCTTAGTAACAGAACCTCGAGCAAGGCAAGAAGGCATGTAGAGCTTTAGACCGTTAAGAGACTTGTTGTAATCCTCCCAAGCTTCCTTTTCCGTGAAGTTTACATGGCGAGTAATCAAACCAGGAAGATCTTGATTCAAACCGAACTGCATCGCCACTCGATTCGGATAGTAGTTCTCCACAAAACCATTTCCAGCAAGCTGAGAAACTCTAACACATTTAGCAAAAGAAGCAAACTCATGATCAAGACTGTCATCAAKAGTCATCAACAGTCACCCACATAGCTTCATCAACATATAACCGAAGCGGATTCCAATTCTTCAAAGGCTTTGTGTAAGGACGCCAATCGAATCCATCAAAACTAAACATCTCATTCTTATATGACCTCTGTTGAAGAGAATCCCATCGAGAAATCCGAGGTTCGCCTTTTGGTATCTCTCTAACATTTGGTCTAGTATTGCTAAATCTCTCCCATATCCACACTTGAACTAACTTAAACAGAGACTTCATATTAACTTTTTTTATCACATTCCTCTACTGCTAAATCACGGATTCGATCCAAATCGCTGTATATACCCGCTAGAACCGCAGGAGCAAGCGCGATCCTTTCACCTCTAGCTAATCGAATAGCGATTGGGATAACATCTGTGGTAATAGAACGACGAGATGTACCTGGAAACACGAAATGTGAAAGCCACAACACAAGAAAAGCTTCATGTTCCAATTCATCACCTCTACCAAAAAACTCATAAATCCAAGAACTCTGACTTGTACGACAATCTCCATTACGATATTGCAGCCTCACTTTCTCCAGTTTCTCCACAGAATCTCTCATTTTTTAGCTCTCTAGAGGAACAAAAACAGGAGAACCCAAAACTGAAAAACCTAAAAGCAACATTACATCTTCTAAAGTAATCGTAGCTTCACCAAAAGGGAAAAGGAACGATTTTGTCTCTGGACACCATTTCTCTGCAACAGAGAGAATCAAGGTTTGGTTTTTAATGATATTGTAAGTCGATGCTTTGATTGCTTCAAAGATTCCAGCTTTCTTCCAAATGTTTCCGTGTAAAGCTTCCATTTTTCCAAGCCAAGAAACAAAATGTGCATCTGAAAACCAAAACCCAGAAAAAGAAATCCTTGAAGACAATCGATTTAGCTGCGTTGAAGAAACAGAGACACGTTGATGACGAAGAGGAAGCTCAGCTACACCATTAATGGAGGTAACACTCGGTTTTAGAAAATGGGTTTTCTTCAAGATGTAACCTTTCTCAGTCACCATGACTTCTTCTCTCTCGTCGATGAGTAGTGATGAAGACGAAGACATGACTTTATCTCTCGGAGAAGACAAGGCAGAAATTAGGATTTAAGGTCAAGATTGGAGACTCAAAGGAATCACTTTGCCAAAAATGGTAAGAAAAAGAAGCGATTTTTGGAGGAAAGTATGGGAAGAGAACAGAACGGAGGAGTTTGCTGTATATGGCAAAGGAGCAAAGTCTCTTTTTCTTAAATTCGTGCTCAAATAAGTTAAATTTTAACTGTACCGCAAAATTGTATGTACAGAGTACAGACTGTATAGTGTATATGTATTTATTTTTGAGTCAATTAGGTGAATAACCAAGTTAGAGTAGGAAATTAGGAAGATGACAATGATAAGACGTAAATGTTAGTTTTACTGTACTTTGTAAGGAGGTTAATTACACTATGCCCCTCGGTTGTTTATTATCTATATTACTCCATAAATTTTTAATAAATATATTCCACATTATATTATTCTCTCTCGGATGCTATCTGGTTTTTGTAAGATATATATGGAAATACTGTCCTATGGGTTTATTTGTAATTAGCTCTAACCTAGATAGCTACTCGTCTGTGTATAAATATGTGTAATCTCTCATCTAATCAGATAACTTATTCTCCCTTTACAGTTTTAACCATTACATACAATACGAGGTTTTTTTTTTAGTCACAACAATACGAGTTTTAGATCGGAAAAGAAAATGAATCCTTTAAAAATTTAAGTCTTTGATTTTTTACTTTACCAACAACAAATATATAAACATTCAGAGAAACCTCAAAACTAGATTTGGCAAAGATGCAACGAAGCTTATAATGATGGCGATAGAGACGGGAAAAAATTGTTTCACTTTGGCCATGACGAAGATCCAGAGAAAACTTTTTCGTTTGAGTTAACTCGGTTGTACCGAATTGACTCACTGAGTTAAGATCAAGCATCGGGTCACTATAATCATTTCATTTCCTTCTAACATTTTGTTTAACGCTATAACTCAATTGTTACATGTTAACATTTTATTTGAGTGTGGTTAATTTATTGTTTAAACTGTTAGTATGTATAGTAGCGGATACAAATTAATTTATCGGTAATATGTATCGACGAATATTTAAGAGACAATTGCAAAAATACCACTTAAGTGTATATTTTCAAAAAAACCATTATGGGTTGTCAATTTGCAAAAATACCACTGATTATTAATTTTGAAACCTAAATCTTAAAWTTTTAAACACTAAAAAATGTTTTGACCTCTAACAAACCCTAAACCCTAAAAAATAAACCTTAATATAATATAGTTAACCCAAACATAAATGATAAAATGAGTAAATAATTTTGAAAAAGTGGCATTTTTGCAAAGATTTTTAAAAATGTCATTTTTGAAAAGTGGCATTTCAAAGTGACATTTCTCAAAATTTATCTACATTTACTATTTCATTATCGACTATTATCCTTGTTTTATGTTTAACATTGAGGTTTGCTAGAATGTTGAATGTGTTCAATCGTGAAACATCTAAGGACACGTGTTACCGTTAACTCAAATATTATCCGATATTATATATGTTAAACATTTAACAATTAATTTAGAAGACTAATTTGAAATACAAAGATACAATTTTCTAGTGGGTTTTTTCGGAGAATATGATGACCCACCGCCAAACACCACGAATCTCGCTGAGAAAGCCAAGCACTGTGAACCCCGCATCCCATATTTGTCATGAATGGAATCAAATAACTAGTTATTGGCTATAACATTAGATGTTTAACACTGGTTTTTGCTAGTTATGTTGAATGGGTCCAATCATTAAACATCTACAAACTATGTTATAGCTAAATAATATGTTATCCGATATTTTATAAGTTGTCAGTGTAACAATAGAAATAGAAGATTATTTCGAATATTTTTACCCTCGGAAGCACCGACAGATCTGGTGATCTGGATAGTAGAGTCAGTATCTGAATAATGTAACATATTCAAAGAGTAATCTTAATTGTTAGTGGGCTACAAATTTAAATAACTGGACAATCTATAGTAACTTAGCGGTATTTTTTTAACAACTTACTGAAAAAAGATCAGTAGCCGGATAAAATATAAGTACAACAAATAAATTTTGTTAAAAAATTGGATAATATTATTATTAATATATGGTTAATAAAGTCAGTATCCAAATATTATAATATATTTAAAGAGTTATTTTAATTATATGTAATGCGTATTATTAGATGTTAAATGATTGTACACAATCAACATACTAGCAAAACCCAATGTTAAGCATCTATCAACTGGAATAGCCGATAACAAATTAATTAACTCTTCTTCACCACTACAATCTCATCCTCTGACTCGCTGATGCGGTTCACTAAGTCAACTCGATATCTCCGAATCAATTGTTACGAAAAAATTTCCCAACATTTTTTTGATATTTGTTCTTCTATCTTATCTCCAAGCTGTCTTGGAGACGAGAAATGCACAGTTCATTTCTGGCTATGGAATTCATAGCTTCTGATAAAAGAGAGAGAAAGATGAAG